AAATTCGTCAATACGCTCCTCCGCTTTCCATGCATGGAAATTCATACTGATTTTCGCTCTTTCTTTCTTTTATTAGGGGCCATTGGAATGCGCAGTGACGCTGGAGGAGATAGAGATGTGCAGAAGCAGGAAGAGTACCAAGCAACACTGTAGCTCAGGCATTGTTTGCTTCCAAACTTCGGTGCTCGTGCGAGAAAGACTACGCGAATACTTGCCAAATTCTTCGACTCGTTTCACGTCGAACGAGAGATCACTCCACAGACCATGTGATTGGGACAGGCCCCTCTTGCCCTTGTGAGTTGTGACTCTGCATGAGAGCAATTATAGTCACGTGGCGTCCTCTCTCTCTTTTCTTTTCATTGCCCTTCTTTTCCCATCCTTCCTGCTGTGCTTAGTAATAATGTTCTTCACCGAGTTCTTGAACCAAACTCCGCATGCATGCGACGATTAGGCGCGAGTTAAACGATCCGACGCGCCCCGAGAGGGGTTTCGGTTTGCAGTTTGCGCGTAATCTGGATCCTCTTTGGTGCCATACGATACAGTTCACCTCTGGTTATGAATTGAAGATGAAAGAAACCCTCCCTTTCATCGTTCTCTCTTTCTCCTTTTGCTTTTGAGCTTATGACCAAAAGGGTTTCCCAAAATCTACGCGATGGGATGTGCTGCGATGGTGAAGATGGTGGGCTTGTTGTAAACGGCCTTTTAGGAGGGCCGAAATGAGCTCAAGATGGAGTCTCCTGAAGCCCAAGTACGAAAGGCTCGTCCTACTTGTGATCAGCGTGCAACGTGAACTTTTGAAGCTATTAGCGGAAAATTACTACTCTCAAAAAAAAATTTCGAATAAAAAAGGAGTGTCATGTCGGCATGTCGTATTAGTGCATTAATTGCGATGTTGATGACTGATGGACCTGATTTCATAAACAACATAAAGTAGGAGATTCGATTTTGCTGATAAAGTTGGAGGATTAAATTGAACAAATGACTATACTTAGATGACCGACTACGTGACCCTCCACAGAAAAAGAGCACCGAATCTCATCAAAATCACTATCGACCATAATTTGGCTTTAAATGAAAACAAAAGGAAGATAAGCTAACCAAATATTCCATCTTCCTCATCACCTACCGAATACTATATGGGCATAACTTTAAAGAGTTGGTTAACTAGTAAAACGGTTGAGATTTTGTGCTACAAGATGCTTCAAGTTCGATTTCTACTCGAGACAAGAGATCTGGATTTAGTTCGGTTCGCGAAAGCTAGTTTACAATACCACCCTACATACAGACTATGCATTTTTTATTGTATATAAGCCATTTTTACTATTGACTTGAAATAGTAACTCACTAGTCCTCACGCACTCGACACGCATGCGTGATCACATCTTTTTCCTATTGTTGCTTTATTACTTTTCAATTTTTATATGATGGAAAAGTTAAGACCGGCGTTGTCGATCACTCTTCTGTAGTTTACTTTCATGTTGTTTAATAACTTGTGAGTCTTTTATTTAGCAAAAAAAAAAAACTTGTGGTCTTTTTAGTTTATGTTTCTCAAAAAGTTTCAGATCTTTAACTTTGTCAATGCAACCAAATTTCAATGTTTTTTTATGTGTAATTGCTTCGTGATAAATCTGACTTTGGAGCTGACCAAAAAAAATATATACATGACTTTGGTGAGGGCAACCCTCTTACATGCCGTGCACGGCATGTTGTACGAATTTAATTAGAGAGGAATCCTCCGAAAAGAAAGTTCAGTAACATTCATCATTACAATTGCACGGAGAAAGAAGATACCCAACATAAATCCATTATGAATTTGGTAAGTAATTTGTCATTTTTATTTATGGTGATAACCCCCAACAAGCTCTTCTTATCACAAAGTAAGAACGCAATTGAGCATTATGCAAGTCTTTTCCATAACTGAACCAATGGTTATTCATTAGAAGGACCTCCCCCGCAAACAAGGGAGCTTTCGTGGGAAAAATCTAATCGAGGTTAAATTTCCCAACTGTCCTGTGCAATGTGTCTTGCCTAGAGATACCTTATCCATACTCAGTAAAAGCACGCGAATGGGTCTCAAAATGATATGAAATTCGAAGACCTAGACGTCCGCGAGTCATGCTATTTCCAAGAAACTAACAACGCAATGGCACAAAAGGGAAATTGGACTTTGCCCTAGTTTTGTCGTGCCATTAGAGAGAGAGAGAGAGAGTTGAGTTCAACTTGTCTTGCACGGCAGACAAAGAAGAAAAGAATGATGTGCTTTTTGCAGGGCACAGTTCAGTGCAAAAGATTTGGTAGCGAGGTAATAGTCAAAAGGTGTCTTTTGTGGTCATTCGGGAGGAGGGCGAGTGAATGCCACGCTCTACCCGGAGCAAGTAAAGCGCTTCGCGAATTAAGGAAAGGGTGTAAGAACTAAAGCTGGCCCTTGGAGTACGCGAAGGGCCACCCTGTCTGAGAATCAGATCGGGACGCGGGGGTCGGGCGGGGTGCGTCGCACGCGCGCGCTCGGTATATACGCGTGAATGAATGAGGGAGGGGGGGTCCGGTCCAGCTTTCGATTTTCCATCAGTCGCACCTTCTCGTTGTTAACTTCCATGAGCTCGCTCTCTCTCTTCATTTCCGTCTCGTTGTTAGGATTTGGATTCAAATTATCGTGTTAGCAAATTCTCTTAGGGTTACCTTGAGAGTATAGATTCACATACCTCCATGATTACCTGACATAAGAATGAGATAAAGAGATGCACTCATATGATGAGATTAGTCGAGAGCCCTAAGAATGTTGGACCTTTCGAACAAGATACATTTGCAGTTCAAATGCAGGGATCTTCCACATCAAAATAAGCACTTGAGTATCCAATCGATTCTTTAAGAGTTAATATTCTCTTTCATGGGTGTTTCGGATGGCGCTAGTTAATGAAAATATTGTCATGTAGACAAAAATGTGCTGCATTTGAACTCGAGACAATAATTACAATATCAAAAATTACTAGAGAATTCTAAAGCAAGAGTTCTTGTAAAAGTAATTATTTAAAGAAGAACCTAGATTATAGCTAAATACTTGAAGTTTTTGTATAATGTTATGGAATTGAGTAAAAGATAAGGTTAATACCACGAAAAGCCCAAAATTGATACACCTGTGACAAATTTATCCATAATTAATTTTTTAACCACAAAAGACTCAAACTAGTACACCTATGACAAATTTACCCTCTTTTAATTTTCGTTAAATTTTACCGTCAAATTGCTTAATTGCATGACACGTGACAGTTGACGGGTGTACCGGTTTGGAATTTTATCCTTCGTTTGTCATAGGTGTATTAATTTGTGATTTTTTGTAGTATTAGTCCGAGTTAATGAAAACTAATGGGGATAAATTTATAACAAATATACCAATTTGGGGTTTTAAGTGGTCAAAAAATTAATTTTAGGTAAATTTGTCATAAGTAAACCAGTTTGGGGTTTTTCGTTGTATTAACCCTAAAAGATAAAGTAAGTCATAAAAAAGAATAGAAAACCATACAAAAATACCCACCACCACCTACCCAATCCAAGTTCTATGGCTGAAATCAAGGTTGAACCGACCTCGATTTGGGCTGGCATGGAGGACGAACCTTTGCTGACCTCAATTTGAGGTTGGCGGCGTTCGTGATGACGTTGGATCAAGAGGGTTGAGTGTGAGAAACGGAGATGACGTTTTGCACTTAGTACACAATAGTCGTAGGGTGTTGCGCTGGGACATGTCATCGGAGATGAGGTTCGAACTAAGAAACTACCGGCAATGGCGGTCATGTCCGACGATAGCAGTTGAGAGGGTGGGGGAAGAGAGAGGAGGAGGAGGAAAGAGGGAGGGCTCTTAGGCTCCGTTTGTTGAGTAAAAAATGAATTATTTGGAAAATATTTTCTTAAAAATGATCATCTGTATCGCTTGAAATAATTAGTCAATGAAATATATTTTCATTATTAACAATAATTTATGTCTAAACATTTTCGTAGACGATAAAAATATTTATTGTCCATTCATTTTGTAAACGATACAAGTTATTATTTTTTATGATATATTTATAAAATTATTCATTTTCCGCAAAATAAAAGCACTCTTAAAGCTAGGGTTTTCTTTTGGGAGAAGGGATAAAATAGCGATGAGGGCAATTTGAGAAGGGAAAACGACAGTTTGGTAAATATGTGACTCGGATTGCGCGAGATACAAGTTGAAATCTAGTTAATAAACACCAAGATGCAAAATATAGGTTTTCCAAGGTGAGGATGCGAATCTATGTACGGTTTTAAAAGGTGAGGATGGCAATTGATACTTTTCCAAATTTAATAAGTGACAAAAAGGGGAAAGCTTGGCAAGTCATTTAACCACGACCTCTATTCGATTTTATGTGCTCACATTTTCTTTCCATACATAAGGAACTAATCCCCTTTCATTAATAGCACGGATATGATAATGAAGGAAAGGAATATGTATCGCGCATCCACCCCGAGCATATGCATATTCCTCACTATGTGCTTATACTCCAAAATTTTGTATCCCAAGTAGAGACATTATTATCATTTCAATCAATTCATAAACAAGCACGCTACAATTTCATATATTTTTTCCGGAAAAATCGACATGAGTGTCTTGGTATATGCGAATCGCATCGATCTCATATATCAATCAGGCGCATGTAACAATAACGCAGGAGGCTGATTGGCGACTCGATATGATCTAGGACGACAATGAAAAAGAGCTCACGACAAAAATAATGTGGACCGATGCACCCGACAATTTTTTTCCCAGATTAGCCCCTCCTAGTCACGATTATATTGTCAAGGGAAATCACGATTAGGTTTTAGGTTAGAGAGAGAGAGAGAGAGAGAGAGAGTGTGTTTGATCTTATCTGAAGTTTTATGAGTCACCGCCAGCCCATAGAGACGCGACGAAAAGCGAATCCCACCCACGAATATTCACCACCTCCTTCTCTCTCTCTCTCTCTCTCTCTCTTTCCTTCTCCTTTCTCTTTCTCTCTCTTTCCTTCTGTTCATATTCATACACACAGACGGCACACAGTCTATCTCTCTCTCTCTCTCACATCCGAGATTCATCTCCTACGCGACGCCTCGACCTCGACCTCAACTCGAATCCTTCAGCTGTTTTGTTCCTCCTTTGTTTCGCCCTTCACCTCCCCAGATAATCAGAGCTCGTAAGAGACAAATATAAACGAAACAAGAGGCGCCAAAACAACCCAAGAAATTATTCCCGGACATATTCCGTGGCTCGCGTCACGAGCCCCCCCTCAACAAAGTCCCTGGTTCCGGATCATCCTATGCTCTGCCTCCCCCTTCACGCGTTATTAAATCCCTCCTCGCACGCTTTAAAGATCAGCCATTGCTGTTCCACGGTCACCTCACCTGCTTCTCCAGTTGAGGAAGGAGGAGGAAGGAAAAATGATGGAATGCCGGAGTTATATGGAAGCGTTAGAGGAAGAGAGGCGCAAGATCCAGGTGTTTGAGCGCGAGCTCCCCCTCTGCTTGGAGCTAGTGATCCAAGGTGCGTTATTTTTCTTCTTTCTTTTCTTTTTTCTGAAAATTTGAAAGAACGTGAGTCAGATTCGATCTGGGTTCAGGTTTTTATTGATCAGATTAACGAAAGAAATAAAAGGGTAGCGAGTTTTCTGATTTTTTTCTGCCTTCCTGGGGTTTGGCAGCGATCGAGAGGTGCAAGCAGCAGCTGTCGGTGCAGGGGCAGTCGTCGGAGTGCAATTCCGAGCAGACGTCCATGGACGGTCCTGTGCTGGAGGAATTCATCCCTCTGAAGGGCTCGTATTCTGGGGACGACGATGGAGATGATGCTTGCGAGGAGGATGATGGCGACGGTGACGGCGACGGCAACGTCGACGTGCACCATTCCTCCCGCGGCGATAAGAGCGGAGATGACGATGATAACACGATGAAGAAATCGGACTGGCTCAGATCCGTGCAGCTGTGGAACCCGAACCCAGATCCCATCCCGCATAGACAGGTATCCTTTGATAATTTCGTCTTCTTTTTCAATCATTTCTTTCTTTTTTGTTTTCATTTTAAGTGAAGAATGGAGAGGAGGAATAGGGATTAGGTTTTGCCCTTTCGTTTTCTATTTTTCTCTTTTTAGCATGAATTAGGGTAAAAAGTCGTCCGGCTTTATCATATAAAATAGGGTTTACCTTTTTCTGTTCATTTCAATCAAAAGATTATGTTAAGACTCACATTTCATACACAGCGTGGTTTAACCTGTTTTTCAAAAAAAAAAATTCACATTTTTCTCAGCACATCGGAGAGATTTTAGGTTCATAGAATGAAATAAGTTTTTAATTGTCATTTCCCTAGGTTCAGGATCTGCCTTCTCCACCATCGTCGAAAGAAGTCGCGGTTGTTGTGCACAACAAGAAATGCCATGAAAATGGTGCTTTTCGGCCACTTCAAAATGGCGAAAAAGATGGCCGTGATGGTAGTACCAAGAAGAAGCAGCCATCCGGCCGAGCTGCACTGCCCGCACCCGATGCCGCCGCCGCCGCTGCCTGCTCGACAGCGGAGATGGCCGCCCAGAGGAAGCAGCGACGGTGCTGGTCAACGGAGTTGCACCGGCGATTCTTGCAAGCTCTTCAACAGCTCGGGGGACCACATGGTCCGTGTCCTATCTCTGGAAATAAGTCTTGCTATTATCTTCTTTAATATTTTACATTGGAGTTGGTGCTTACTTGATATGTTCCTTTAAGCAGTTGCGACTCCTAAGCAAATCAGGGAAGTGATGAAGGTCGATGGCCTCACAAATGATGAAGTTAAAAGCCATTTACAGGTTGGTTTATTACTAGCCATTCTTCTTTTCCGCGACGAAATTCGTCGAATTTTTTCGATTCCAATATAAAGTCAGGACGGGATAAATATGATACCAGAGACAGGTTCTAAATTCTCCATATGTTAATCTAAATCTAAGGGAAAATAATCGGCATTTGGGCTCCGTTTGTTTCGCGAAAAATGTTACGTTTCTGGAAAATATTTTCTAGAAAGTCATTTCAATTTTCCGGTGTTCGGTCAAAATCTGAAAAAGTCTCGGAAAATATTTTCCGTTGTTAGGTATAGAAAAGATTTTCCCCCTTGCAATATTTTTAATAATTTTTAATTTTATTTTTTAAAAAAATTAAGTTTCTTTTTTTCTTTTTCATTTCCTTCTTTTTCCTTCTTCCTCTTCTTCTCCTGTAGGTCGCCGGCCACAGCGGCGGCCGGCGACCGGCTAAGGGAGAAGAAGAAGGAGGAGGAAAATGTTTTCCTCTTTTGAGAAAGAGGAAGTCATTTTCCTCCAAAGTGAAGGTATTTTGTCCATAGGAAGGAAAATATTTTCCGTGGGAAGTTATTTTCCATGAAACGAATACCGAAAAATTCGAAAAATATTTTTTCGGAAGTTATTTTTTGTGAAACGAACGGAGCCTTAATGTTTAGAATTTGGTCTAGATTCAAGGAATAGCAGGCTGACCATGGCCCCTACGTTAGCCTATCTTTTGGACTTACTTAAGTGGAGTTCTATATTTAGTCTTGTCACGTAACGAATGACCTAAAGCAATAGCTTTATGTTCTCAATATATGATTAGCCAAGAACAATTTGAATATGCTTTGTGTTCTGCTCATTCCTTTTAGAAATATCGATTGCACACGAGAAGACCAAGTCCCAACAACGGCCACAACAACGCCAATGCTCAGGCGCCTCAGTTCGTCGTCGTGGGAGGGATATGGATGCAGCCGCCGGATTTCGCGGCAGTCACCGCCGCGAAACCTCCCCACGAGGCGGCCTCTAATCAGATTTATGCGCCAGTCACAATGCTTCCGCAGCCGATCAGGCCGTCGCACGGGAAATGTGGATTCATTGCTTCAGAAGAGCGAGGCCATCGTAGTGAAGTGGGTGTCGATCATTTCAATAATTCCTCATCTCCAACATCGTCGTCCACACATACAACCACCGATTTTTGAGTTAATATAGGACGTGAGTCATGTTGAAATTTTGTAACGGGATCATAAACAAAATAAGAATAAAAAAAAACACATTTTTGATATTGTACACAACAAGATGAAAGAGTTCTCTTTCTGTTTCATTTTACTTTCAAGTGGGATATTCCATGCACGTGGTGTGTTTCGAGACTGTTGAAATTGAGATTGAAGTCATTAATCTAAATTTCAAAATCGTGGAGAACTTATTCCAATACTTTCTTTTTACAAAGCTCAAAGCAACCAAGGGAAGCAGGGTTGTTCTAGAAAACAATAACCTGAAGTACTCGTCTAAATTCAGTCTAACGGACCGTGAATCAAGAAAAATGTCTTGCTAAATACTGCATCCTCATTCCTGAGACATATATACGCGTGTATATCATATGTCAAATTAAGCAGATGTAACGATTTTCTCTTTTCCACTCGACTATTCCCATTGGGCATAGCCGTTCTCTCGTTTGTGTCTCCAGAGAACGGCCCCAAGAAAGATTGCATAAATTTGATTAATGGATTGCAGGTGTCGAGTGAGAAAGATGAGCACGGTAATTATTGCGGAAACAAGCGATGGAACAATATAATAAAAAGAACAAGAAAATAAATCGGACACCGAATTTGTATGGTTCGGTCGAGTGACATACGTCCACAGGGAGAGCAGCAAATAATTCTACTATAGAGCATTTTATGGGCAGTCTCTAGTAATGTTATGCTCATCAACTCTATAACATATTGTGGTTAATTGACACCAGTGCGGTATCTCACCATGCCTTCTTTCATGCATAATTTGTTTAATAGCTCCAAGTGAAACTCTATGTTACTGTCAATCTACACATGCTTGATCGTTTTACTAATCTCATTTTCGAGCAAAGCTCTCAACTGCCTAATATTGATAGCAGCATCAAAGTCGTGCCTTAGCACAAACACCCAAGTCTTTCTCGAGTAGTCATCTACCACTGTTTGCATAAATCTGGCACTCTTCTTTGAAGGAAACCGCGATAACCTACAAACATTCAAGTGAATTAACTTTGCAATCTCCATGGTTTTTCTAATAGTTGAACTGAACTGCACTTTCCCTCGTTAATCTAAGTCATAGCACTTGGATACATTCAATTCGTCAGCAACATAACCACATAGCAAATTCCTTTCACTTAGAACCTTCAGGCTTCTCTCGCTAATGTGCCTTAAATGCATGTACCATAATTTAGACTCTCAAACATATGCACCTGATGTCTCCACAACGTCATCTGCAGACTCAACTCTAATTCTCTTAACCTTCTCATTTTTCAGCTTACGCAATCCTTTCTAAGATGCCCCCCTCTTGCCACAACTCCAACAAACAACTCCACCAATCATAGACTGAGTACGCCTGTTCAAGTTTATACTACTCCTGCTAACACGTGTAATAGTTCTTCCTCTACTCTCACCTGCTAAAGTAGCAGTTACAGATTCACCAGATTCTCTTTTACATATGTCCTTAATCATAATCAAATCACGAACCCTATCAAACGTCAAGCTTGTTAACCCAGAGGAATTACCAACATTGGTAACAATAATATTTCAACTATCAGGTAATGAGTATAATAAAATCAAAGCACGTACATCATCTTCAAAGTCATTCTCAACAGAACTCAACTGACTAATAATCACATTGAATTTATTGATATGATTAGCAACTGACGCACATTTGCTCATCTTTAAGTTAAACAGACGTCGGATCAAGTAAACTAAAATCCTTCCCATCAAATCTTTTGATTATCACTTTTCCTTCTTCTGTTGCCATCGATTCGTTTTAACTCAGCCAACCCTTGCTTTGATACCAATTGTTACGGAAGCAAGCGATCGAACATTATAATAGACAGAACAAGACAATTGATCAAGCATCAAATTTACGTGGTTCAGTCGGGTGACCTACGTCAATGGAAATAACAGCAAAGAAATCTACTATAGATTAATCAATACAAGAGATATTGCAACCACACTCAAACACTCTTAAAGTTTCCCAGCTCCCAATTATACCCAATAATTCACATAATATTTAGCTCCATAATTTCTCACGAAATAATCTTTTAATCTCACAAAATAATTTGCAAATCTTACTTACAAGATTTAATTGACTTCAATACACTTAGATATCTTCGGGATGTAAATCAAAGTAAAAGCTCATCTTTGATACCCTACACAAAGGACATCTACATTTTAGTAGATCTAATAAAGGAAACCTTTTTTTAGTAAGTCTGCTCAAACTAAAAAACAAATCAACTACCAAAACTATGAAACCTACTTGAATTAGAAAAGTTTTCTTTTCAAGCTCAAACTCGAGATATTTCTTCAACAGTAACCCTTATTTACTCAACGTTAACATGGAAAGAAGCTCATTGACGGAGGAGACAGAGACTGAAGAATTGAGAGTGATACGCCACTACAGACAAATCTGGTCTCCATCGCGTGGTTTACCAAAAGTAAGGTGAGCACTCAACTTTTTAATAGTTGAGGAAGCACATAGGATATACCTTTTGGCGCCAATTTGGGAGAGCAAACTCGATTAGATAGTTTTTGTATCGATGTTGACACAAGGCACAACGCAAGAGGACTAAACATATTAGATTTCTCGCTTTGGAAGCGAAGGTTCCAACCATAGAAGCAGCGACACTTGCCCTCTACTTGGTGATTCTAGTTCTAAATTGGCTGAATATTCTAGATACCGAGGCATATTTTTTGCCCTAAACATTTTGAATGTGCTACGAATCCATCTAGTGCGTACGTCCGAAGAGATATACCTCATATGCTTTGGAATATCTCCATGCCGTGCTCTAAAATATTTCCTCAGTTGGAAACTTCGACGGCTAGAATTGGAGTGGTAGAACACGTTGTGTACCTCGTTGTGGGAGAGTCGCGAATTGCCGGATTTATGTGCTATGGAATTGTCCGGTAATGCTCGATTGGTGGTTTGTCCTTGTGTCTAGCAAGTGGGAGGATTCTCTTGACATATGACATAGGATACAATGTTTACTTATAACTGTATTCCAGCGACTTTATTTAAGTGGTACAAGCATTATGAACGAATATACCAGAGCAGCTCATTATCATCAGTTCTACTCCAGTGTCTGAGAGTGGAGCGTAAGTAATGGGATTATCTAAACATCCGACATGTTCTTGGCAATTCGCTTAGTAAATGAAATTTAGTAAAAAAGATTTTAGTACATTTACCATTTCTCCTTTCACCTTATTCACCTTCTTTGTTATCAGTCTCCATTGCAGAAATTTTTCTTATCCGGAAATGAAAAGTTGGAGCCTTGAAGATCATCTCATCCTGTTTTTCCTAATATATCGAAAAGGAATTTCTTATTTAAAACCTTTCGATACGATCTTTCTAATACTGGCTTGATCGAAAGCTCCTCTCGAGTGTCCGCTAGAAATATTGCGAATATGATTCGGATGTGATTAAACACCAATGATCGTAATTAGGTGTCTCGCTTCCCAAAGTCAAGCAATTTCGTCGATATCTTTTCCCTAGAAAATCTTCTTAATTGATGAAGAAAATTTGCCCATTTTCCTTGTACGGTGAGAATTGAGACTAGAAGTCCAACTAAAGGAAAATTTGCAACTGTAGCAAAATCATGACAATGAATGTTTGCATTTGTATCAGAAACATAACCGGACGTGATTTTTCCTATAGCTTTGATCTCGAGAGCTCTTGTGTCGAGGCTATTCATACATTGTATAAGGATATTAGGGATCAACTTAAGTACTAAAAGCAGCTCCTTAGCATGTTTACAAACCAAACTCCATCCTCCAACTCTTTTTGTCAACAATTGAAGACTAAAAACTCTTCCAAGTACCAACTAATTTCTATAGAGTAAAGACACGGATTGTTTGGAATGGCTTCTACTTCTGACTTTTCGCTTTTTGTAAATCTTACGGCACGCGCACTTTGGAGATGAACGTTTTGTAAGACGATACTAGAAAGGAATCTACTCGGGACCAAGTGGGTATTTTAGAAGTCAAAGATAATAGAGAGGAATTTCCGTGAGATGTGGTTTGGCCATGTTGAAGAAAGATCCGTAGACGCCTTTGTGATCAAGACGTGAGAAAAAGGATACAAAACGCTGGTTAGAAGGGGTAAGGGAAGACACAGAAGAACGTGGAAAGAAACGAGAAGAAAAATTATGGAGTAATTGGAGTTTACTAAGCATCTAATAGAAGATCAAGTACAGTGGGGTCATAGATTGTAATATTGTATACTGCCTAGTCGGGATAAGACTTGGTTTGTTATTATTATCATGTTGTTATCATGTTGTTATTGATTAATAAAAACATGAAATCAAGGGATCTTTATTCTATTACTATATATATTGTACTCCCTTAACATATGCAGTACTTCGAAAAAAAAAAACTTATGCAGTACAAGAGAGTACCATATTTCAAAATCTTAACATGGTAATAATTAGGCTGGACAAAGCCCCTAAAATTAGCACACTTGGTTGGGAGTTTAGGGGTTTTTCAGCAAAGGAACCAAATGTCATTCTTTCAAAATCCCACTGAAATCTAGGTCACTTGACTGGCCAAATAGTCAGAATTTAACCGGTTCACGAAACTTACAACTATTTCATGAGTTTCCATATAGCTAAACCTCTTTCTTGGATTATCAAAGAAAATATTTAATGTTAAACATATGAAATGAGAAATGTATTGAAATCAATATCTCATGCAAAAGTGGTTACATCTCTAAATCAAATTCAAATTATGGAAACTACATAAACCAAAACCATAACCGTGGTAAACATAAATAAACAAAATCCATAAAAGATTCATAAGTCACGTCTAGATAAACATAATACTCAATCGTACCACAATCAATTGTGTCATACTTTATTACCCTAATCATATGCGTACAAAGTCCACGGGCGACTCACCGGACACTTAAACAAATCCATCATTTCACAGATGGAACACCTTTGACTCAATTTTAGATACTAAAAAACTCTATCACCACGCACCAAATACATCGATCTTGAGAAAGAATGTTCAAATACCTAACATCGCCCCAATAGATTATTACATTTTCCTGCGAATCCCTAGCTAAAGGATGATCTTTCGACGCGAGAAGATAGAGATTGTTGCCGCGTGGATCGAGAAGATAGACATGAGAAGAGAGAGAGAGAGAGAGAGGGGAAACGATACAAAAGGAGACTAAGGAGCATAGGATAAAGTGACCCTTCAGTATATCCAAAGGCCAAACACGAAACCCTATCGAAATGGATGTCTCGTCGTGTCCGAGTTGCATAGAATTGGAAGAGACGAGCGGCGGAACTTTCGTGAAAGACTAGACACGATCTTCTCTCAAATCTTCTCCCTCGCATCAGAGAATGAGAAGATCCGGTCAACGCGCCAATGTTTATAATTTTCGTTACGTGAAGAATGCATGCATCATTTGTCACAATCTGCTAGGTGATAATGCATGGTCGATGTGGACTTGAATATATATATATATATATATATATATATATATATATATATATATATATATATATATATATATAATTGTCTTTAAAATTACTTGTGGAATTTAATTTACATACCTTTGGAGAAATCGCGCACAGCAGAAAAAGCCACTGCCAAACCAATTTTTGGAACCCACCAATTTTCCAAGTATCTGTTTTTTAAAAAATAAATTAAATTAAATTAATGACATGGAACTCCATCTTCATGTCGGGATCGAGAGCTTCTTATATATATTTTTCAATTTCTATCAATATATATATATATACTCAACCAATTGGATGACAGCAGGAAGAAGTGAGAAAATAGAAGTGCAACAAGCACGAATATCCAGAGAATAGTCGGATGTCCCACGACGCTTCGTGGTCTTTGATTGCATGAGGGACGAGGTGGACATGTTCAACCCCCAACTGGATAATTTTAAATAGGACGTGACGTGGAACGATCTGTCTCTCCCGACACTATAAATATGCACACATCACATATATTATTCTACTTACGTTGGTCATCTGAAAAAAGTGAAAAAAATAAAAGAGAAGGGAAATTTAGATCGAGGACAGAAAATATTTGAAAGGGCTGAACTGAGGTAGGGGCAAAGCTTCGGTTGGTGTCCTGTCCCCATGCGAAGCTCCTACTTCGTGGCAGTGACATACTCAGTGAGGTCACAATCATCCCTAAGTGTCGTGAAATCAGTTGATTAGCGAAACACATAAACATTAAGTTGCAACCTCCAGCAATTGATCCCTCAGCTCATATAATAGCATCTTTACAAAATTCTCGTACTTATAACATAATCCCATCTCATTGGATGCTTTCTCATGATCATTTTTCAGATTAATGATCTTGTCAAATTCATGTAGGGTGATATTCGCCTAGCCAAACCAATTTGCTTTGGGTGAGAGATGATGAAATCCCGCTTTTATATTGTTGGCATTTCACCGTTAAGCTCCAAAATGAAAGCGAGAACTACCGTTTCATAAAAGAAGTGAAAAAATTTTATAGATCACTCTGTCAATTGTTCTGACAATTACTTCAAGAAAGATATTTTGATATTTATATATTTGAACAGCCGTCCTGAAAATTAACTTGATAGAATAATGCATGACTTAACATTTATATATTCGAACGGGGTGCTTCTTAATCCATCCCATATTACGAAGAAAGTGGGGAAGTATTCTTAATCTGACTGCATACTTAGGCCAGGTTCGTGTGACATTCATGGCCAAGTGCAGCACTAATTGGTTCAACACCCAACACCAAATGAACTTGGACTAGAAATGGGGGTCGATGCATGTGGTTACGTAGGAATCGAGCGACCACACTTTGATAATGTCCCAATCTCCATGTTTTCAAATCAAACAAGCACTTGGACAGGATGCTGACTAAACGCATGATAACAAGAATGACGATAATTAACATTCACGGAAACAAGGATCGGTCGGGGAAGAGTCTGCGAATCACGAATGCATCAATTAACAAAAGTCCAGCTAAGCGAAGCGACGGGAAGCAGCATTGAATAGGATGCTTTAAAAACGTGATATGTCTAACAGGGCAATATTCAACACTCAATAAGCATACGTCACATCACTTGACATTTTTTTTTGCTAGAATGGTCACATCACTTGACATATCAATCTGGCAAACCGATCTCAATAAACCTAACATTATTTAAGTACTAGTTTTTTTTTTTTTTTTTTTTGGTCAGCAATTATTTAAGTACTAGTTAATCAGTGAAAATTGTGGAGGAGGGAAAGGCAGAATGGTACTAGGCATCTCGGCCCATGGGCCATAGTATGTTAAGAGTTTGACATTGACCTCAATGATGTTAACCCAGCACTACATAGCAGACAAAAAGAGTTTAAGTAAACTACACTATGAGAGAAATTGGACTTCATGGTGAACATAATGTATGATTTTTGTTTTTTGTTTAGAATGGTTCAGACGGGAAAACAGCTTATGCGATAGGCAATTCACTCGACCGATATATTTGTCTAATTATAAATGTCCAGATGTAAAATTTTTAGTTCCTTCAGAGATTAACAAAATGCAGGATATTTGAAGGTTATCATGGCATAAAGTGCAGTGGTAAACAAACGCGATTGAAATGCATGCTAGGCTAGAAATCAGAAGAAGATAGTAATGATCCAGAGACTTCAACAGGAATTAGACTGTTAACCGTAGATGAGAAATGCAGATAGTAAATGGAAATGTAATTACATCTCCTATCTATGTATACCATACCCGACTTTTAGATCAAGCACTTCGTTTGTATAGAAGCCCCTGGAACCACCCTAACTGGATAGGACAAGTACGAAGATCGAGAGTACTTTCGAAACCGATCAAGACACAAGATGCTGGAAATATTGTGCCTGATATATACATAGGACATATTCAGGTATTCCACTGAAAACCATTACAGGATTACATGTACGAGCCTGAGAATGAGTTTCTCCAACAAGATAGCTGCATTGGGGCCCTCTGCTCACAGTGCAGCTGCACGATGGTTGAAACTCGAAATAAACGTTGGCTGTGTGAACATACACTTCCAAACGACAGCAAGTCAAGGTTATATCTCAAGGGGTACTCCAGGAGTAGGTTGCAGCACTTGAGCATCTGGCATTTCCTTAGACAAGAGCTCCTGCAGAGCGATTATCATTTAGCTGACAATGTCGAATCTCATTGCAAAGAAACAAGCACTGACAATCTGTTATGATATAGTCGGCTTAAACAGGAGGATAATATGAAAACAACTGCATAGTTTTTGTTCAAATAGCAGCAATTAGAGGCATAGTGGCAGTTTATAGAGTGTGCTTCTCATTCTAAACAATTCCAACACATACAACAATATTGATCAAAAGATTGGTAATGCTGCAACTCAGCGTGAGGTTTACTTCACCCCTCGTCAGTTGATGATAAGATCTGACCACCCTGATATAGAAGCTCAGAAACAGTTTCAAGTTCTCGTACAGCTTCCTGCCGAGATAAGGTTATAACGTAGTAAAAACAAGTTAGAAGAACATGAGAATGCATATCAACTGTCCGATGATGACGCCTCACAGGGGACGGGGAAGAGTGCCAATAGTTAATGCGAGAAAAATAAGTGGTATTTTTTTAGTATTCAATGATTATATGCAATTAATTTGGAAGTGGAAGTTTGCATGGCACTGATTCCTATTGTTTTCTATGGCAAAACATAGTAGAAGGCATTGAGAAAATTCTAAATTTCTTTAGAGAGTATGTACTAAGTATCTGCTCAGCGATGTGTCTAAGATTCTGTTCATAGTTTAACTAAGAACCACTTCGTCCTAAGTCCCACGTTCTTAGGAACTAACTAAATATTTCGGTGTATACAGCTATGTTGTCTCATGAGAAATTTAATAAATGTTTAGTAACTCTAAAGTTTCTGTAACATTTGAAGGTCCTCTGTGTTCATACATCTAGAACTTAATCCACAAACAGGGAAAAGACACTGAAACTCATGGCTGATCGCATCACCTCAGTACTTGACAACCACCATAGACATGGACGATCATTATACAAAGAAAGTGGCCAGACAATAAATTCCTGGAGAAAAATCGGGAAGGTCCGGTTCCCTCACTAATTAGAAATTCGGCAGACAATACCAGTAGTAAAATGAAAGGTTTCATCTTTGCATAATAGCAAAGTCAATTTCCCTAATACTTTTACTAGTAATTTCAATTTGCACCATCTCTGCAGTAAGTGATGATCATAAACCTTAAACGATTCTATTGTTCCTTCAGCCTGGATTATACTAGCGAGAAATCCTTTGCCGTCGAGGTCTCCATTCTTCATCGGAACGACAAACCTGCATGTAAAGAAAAGAAAGCTATTTTCATACATCCTTACTGAAAGTATGCTTTTCAAAGATTCTGAACGAGTCGAGTAAAATATGCTATACTTGGCCTGCAGCAGCTTAGCAAGTTGAACAGCATCCTCTTGCCCTGAGACCAAGGTAAAATTTGGAAGAAGCTGCTTAATAACCGGTGTAATAACAATATCAGCCCGTTCTTTCTCCAGCAAACTCTTGTTATAAACACAGTGGGGTTCATAGTAAAGACTCAATTGTCCTGGTAGAGATACGAGAAACCTGAAGTATGAAGCCAATGAGAGAGACGGGGATAGCTCAATCACAAACACGACAGACAAATGCATTTTCGTTGACTAACAGTTGAGTAGATGAGATTACTTATAGGAGGGAAACTGCCTAGAGTCATAATTTACAGCAGAACTAGAGATTGAAATTTATACCCGTTCTCAGGCCTTTGCCAAGGAGGACCTAAAACTGGTCCTGGAGTGGCCTGAATTCTGACCTTTGGACCCGTTCTTGCTTCCACTTCACAGCTTTGGCCAGGTTCTAAATAAGTGACCTGAAATATTCTGAAACTAAGTTGGGGACTAAATGAGGCAAAAATCACATAGCAGAGGCATTGTGGATTGTCTAAGGTGTCAGCTTAGCAGGTTCCGGGATTCAGTTCTGAAAATCAAAGAAAAGTACATCATTCTAGAGATAGCTGATTCAAAAGCTCTCTACACACACAACTAACTGAGGAGCTAAATCAAGTGAAGCTAAAAGCACAACATGTGACACTCGCAGAAATCAAGTTCGTTTACACCTGATATCTTGAGCTTTTCAATGAGCTACCAGACTAATTTTACGTACTGAGATGCGATGTGGATTATCAAGCATACACTTTTAGCTTCCATAGATAAGAAAATGGCATGCCATATACCAAGAGATTTGCTGTAATGCATTCTCACTTTAGTTATTTTTGGTTCCCAGACAGTCTTAAGTGAAGCTACTCGAGACTCTCATTCACCAACATATTAATAGTCTATGCAAAGAGTGCTCCTCAATTACATAGTAGATGGCATCGAAGAAAAGAAACATTACATAGGAATTGCAGAGAAGATCTGCTTGAGGTTGCCAAAGTACTCGGAGAAACAAGCCCATGAAATACAAACTATACTCACATTTCTGAAAAGGGGATCCAGTAAAGGCTTGGCATTGGGAGTAGCAACCACTCTCAGATCTGGTTTCATTTCCGAAAGTGGCCGCAACGTCTTCAAGTGGCAGTGATCATCCAGGCTTTGGGTAATTACCAAGTAATCAACATCAGGAAGATCGCTGAGCTGAACCAAACGCAACATAGCGAAACAAAATCCCCAAAATCAACCAAAAATCACATCAAACAAAGCAATGAAGTGAATTGACGCAAAAGGTAAAGAGACCTGGAAATTCTTCAAGAATTTCTTGGCAGCATCGTAGAGCCAGGGGATGCCAAAGTCCAAGTTACCCACCAAGATTGGATCAACCAAAAGCCTCAATCCACCCACATCCCAAAGCCAACTGTTCCCCTATATATACATCAAGAAGTCACGCATACAGTCACCAACATGTCCAAAGCAAGCAACTTCCGGCGAAACACGGATCAAGAAACAAAGTCTCGCAAGACCCACCTCTAAGTAAGTGAGTTTATAGAAACCAGAGGTGGAAGAGCTCGTTTCAACCGCGCTTCCTTCCGAAACAACAGAGGGAACAGGACCCTCCAACCTATGAACGAGAACGCTCCATCACTTCGCCCCCACTATACAGGCACAAGGAATCGAGAAAAGAGAAGAGAAAGACCTGCGAGTGCAGAGCTTGAGTGCCTCCGAGTTGAAGCAGCTCGAGCCCTTATGGGTCGAAATGGACTGGGTAGGCTGTACCGGGGATAAAGAAGGCGACACGACGGGAAGTCTGCAAGAAAAGTGCAGGCAAGTGCAGTGAACGGCCATCGTTTCTCTCCTCCAGTGCTTCGCCTCAAAGCTCACATCTTAAAAGCTCTGCGCGCGAAACTAAAGTGATGGAATTTGTCGACCACACAAAAGAAAAGAAGAAAACAAAAGGGAAAAAGAAATGGGGGCAATCGCCATGGCCAAAAAACCTTTGGCTTTCGACTCCTCCACTTGGCCAAACGCAGCGGGTGTAGTGTCACTCGCGTTGCTGGGCAAAAGCTACGTTGCGAGCGTTCGACCCGGCGTCGCGCGGTCCTTTCGTCACTTTCAAGCCTTCGTATACAAGGAAGGTTCGCAATGGACTTTGAGCAAGTTCTTAAAAAGCTCCATTTCGGTCCTCATCTTGATACGAAGATCATTGGATGTAAAATCCTGAGAAAGACAGAGACACGGGAAAATTGGGAGCGAGCGGGGATTGACATAATTGCATCCGTGGAGCCCGTTGTCTGTGTACATCAAACGGACAAGCCGCGAAGAGGGGCTTCCTTTGAATTTTTTACGTTTGATTAAGAAATAACATTACCAAAGAAATGGAGTATTCACTCTCACGAAAGCTTCTGCAACATGTCCGTTTGATATATAAGAAAATGAATTTCACAAATGCAATCTTTATTTTAAGGTAACGTTTGATATATAAGAAAACGAATTTCACATATGCAATCTTTATTTTAATGTGTCGTTACCTGTATACTCACGCTCCTAACATTCATTCTTTTGGCATAGCTAGTTTTGTTATCTATGCAAGTTAAAACTTCAATCGCTTCGGATTTGACGAAGAAGGTGATATGTTAACCACGGATCTCATATTGCTCAACACGTGAGGCCAGTAGTGTAAAGGTACCATTATTTAAAGTGCTACTTTAGGTACCTCGTCACATTCTCTTAACAAATTTTCACCTCAGACATCACCTTCATTTCTCATTACAAATGCAAGAGACATTTCTTCGAGTTCTTCTCACTCTTTGTGCACCATATAATTCGTACGGTTTCTTCTCCTTCTGTATTCTCTGTCAATCTCCCTCCAGAAAAACACACTCAAGAGAGAAGAAACTGATCATCTGTAACCAAGGCTGAACAATCAATCGCCCTATTAGTGGACGCGATTCGAATTCTTACAAGTAGGGAATGCACAGCTCAGACTATATGCTCCCTAGGACATCTGGCCATTGAAAAAGAACTGAAAGATCATGGACGATGTGACCCACAAAATTTCAATTCCCATCGTTCTGCACATTAAAATCATCTTTTTCTCCCAAAGGACGTGTATATATACAAGAATCCTACACGGTCGTCTCTGTACTCTACAGCTTGAAAATGAGAGGTGTCTCGCATCTGGTGGGATGGTAAGGTATGATCTTTACGATTCGGCTACCCTGAGGCAACGGCAACTCATCGCCCGAAGCAATCTTCTCATGCCAGACAAACTCATTCTCATTCTCTAACTTCCTCAGAGCTTCGGCAGCGTCATCGATTTCTTTCTTGATGATGTCCCTCCATGACTCTTCCCCAGGAATTCTCTTTTTCGCATTGATCAAGGCTTCACAGAGAACTCCGATGGCAACCCCGACTTGGCCAGCCGTCCTCAGCTCTTCCACGAGGTATTTTTGGCTTCTTAGCTCATGCAAAGCTTTGCAAGATGAGATGTATTCCTGAGCAGACCATTAAAAGCATTTTAAAGAACGCACACCATAGTTCTACTAATGGAGTAATGTTTGTGCATGTTCAATAAAGTTGCACTTGGCAAAATCAAGTTTAAGGCAAAAACTTAGAGTCTTCGGCAATGACAGGTCTAACTCGTTTCTACTACCATTGAATTATGACCTCCAGGTTAAGTTAGTAATCAAGGAAACTGGCCAAGAGCCAAATTTTCCAACGAAACAAAAGATAGCTATTTGCTCCAGTTGACAGCATTTTATCTCTTTCCTTATGACTCCCATGATCACTAGTACATGGACATCATACAAATATAACTTCAAATAACTGCTTCCAAACAATTTTCTTTTTGTAAATAGAACTCACTACAAATTCCCAAGTGTGAAGCAGGACACATATAATCAAGCACACAACTATCGATATCATCTTCCAGCCAAAAAAAAAGGTACGCTGCCATCAGAATCTATATCAGCCAATTAAATTGGTCCTCAGTCAAAAAATATAAATGCCTTACACGAACTTATGAGCAACCAAATCCTAGAAATGTATTGACCTCACATATCAGCTTACATAAAATAATGTTCACATGGATCAAGCCATTTCAGCTCTTCAAACTTTGTAAATGATGTAAACTATTCAAACTAAATGCCTGGAAACATAAGAACATAGCAGGTCACAGCACCTGAATTAACTACATCAAACTCATTTTATTCTTACCATGTGATAAGAGTGCATACAATAAATTACCCGTCAATGATTCTTTATGATGTCTGCTGATGCTAGTAGTAACTTTATGAGCAAGTGTTGTGAAAGGATAAACATGGTAATATTTCCAAAGTTGAAGCCTAACATTACCAACTTCTGAAACGGAGTGCCTTACCATGTGACCATACCATCATTTATGAGTACCAACATGATATATGAGTCTTACAATTCAATCCCACCCACAATTTGAATTTAAATCAAACAAAAGCAAACACAAAAAAGAAAATGTGCAAGTTGTATACTATGTACATACCAAAAGACCGGAAAGAAACATACCAAAAGACGAGCCGAAATATCTTTGAGTTCACTAGTTCTTGGATGTAGCAAACATGTGGCTTCATCAAGAAACTCTGAAACGCCATAATGCAACTTACCCAAAAGACCTGCAGTAGTTCTTTTCTCTTCAGCCTTCATTATAGTTACAATCTGTATAAAGATGAACAGCCAAACATCAGACCGACAGATAAAGCTTGTTTAGAAAAGTTCCAGCAAATTAACAACAATTCAACTGGTCTTAATGGACAATATCACACTTTTATCCCGAAAAGTGGAGATAAGAGTTCAAGCTTTGAGACTGGTCGACGATGACGTTGCAGTAACATGGACAAAACACTAACCTGGGCTTCAGCCAAACAAATCAGGCTCATAACAGTGGCAACAGATGATGTAGCTTCGGGTGGCCTCTGGACAGAGTTTGCAGATTGTAATGAAGACAGAACATCATGAGAGACGTGATGGTAAACTCCAGCAGCTTCTCTGAAGAGGGTAGCAGACAGCACCAGATCTATATAAAAGAAAAGTTTAAGTACAGTTATGCAAGATGAAGCCATTCCATGCAACTAAAACATCGATGCCCACCTTCAGGCATTACTTCTAATGCCCTCTCACGAAGAATTGCAGCATAAAGGAAGAGGTTCATTCCGAGCTCAAACCGAATGTCATTCACTTGGAAGTACTTTGGACCCATGAGATTCAGGAAGGGTAATGTGCCGGTAAGAGCACCCGCCCACTGAATTCTAAGGTTTGAAATCCAACGAACCATCTGGGTGTTGCTGCTAGCCATGTCAACATGGAAAACTAAGTTCTCCAGCAAGGGTAGATACCGTTTCAACTTTTGGAGATCCTGAAGCAAGTTTGAAAAATCAAGCAGAATGAGATAGCTGCTAAGCGCTTCCACAGATCGGTAGCACATACAGGGCATGTGCATGACTAAGAACCCCCTCAGAAAGCCGTCATAAAACTCATCTCAACATTACTGGAAAATTAAGCAAATGAGACGAGCTCATTCAGAAAAAGAATATCCTCCTAGTGTTCGTTAAAGAAGAAGTTTGGAAGTAAATCGCAACCATCGTCCTCAACAGAAAATCCCAATATTACATGTCCAGTATTGAAGCACAAGATAATGCAGTTTCCATAATCGATGACACTTTTCCCCTCCTTGTCAATTAATCTCTTTAAAAAGGTCACAATTAAGAGAGACATGTTGTAAAAATAAGCTGATCAACAGATTTCACATGCTAAAAGAAACAGGACTTTTCAGAGACAGCTGCAAAAAGAAAGTAAGATTTTGAAGACAGTCTAAAGTCCATGCTCAAGAAAGAATTCACAAGTACGGAACAGCTAAATCACCTGTTCATTCTGAGAGGTAAGCCCCCCAGACATCTCCCTCGCAATGGCCTCGGTAATTGAGCTTGTAGCATTTATAGTTTCCTCGATGGCTCGTCGTTTAGAGCTTAACTCTTTCAGTTGCTCCAATGTGCCACAGTCAAGAGCCGCAAAAACCTCCTCAAACACAATCTGCAAACATTGACATCAGCATCACCCACTAAGTACTTGCACCTAGATAGTTCTAGGTGCAGCAGGCATCGAGAGATGATGCAAAATCATCGCTGCACTCCGATCATTCGACGACAACAGAACATCCAGCCTAGTATGAAGCATCTAAAAAGATGAGAACTTTAGCTCGACTCTAGTGACCCGATTCTTTCCGATGGCATAATATCTCTACTTCTGATCACCCATAACTCTTTTGCCGAAACAACCGATAGGTTCGAAACTCGACTTGCGCAGAACTACCAGAGGACACCAAAAGATAAAGATGGCCGATACTCTCCCCAACTTGACACAGATACTAAACGAACAGCAAGTCAAATTTGACGCAAAGAAAGAGCACCTCAACAACATTCGTACCACCAAGTCCATCTGATCAAGCAAAAATAAAACCCCAGAAGAAAAAATCTGAACTTGCACGTAGATTCATGGATAGAGAAACCACCTTCCTGGTTTTGAGCTTCGCCGGGTCCGGAAAATGCAGCATCATCTTCGCCCTCCCGCACGCGCACACCCGACTCTGCTTCGATGACGATCGCGAAGCAGAATCAAAGTCGCGCGCCCCGATCCGATTCCCAAATCCACACGCGGCTCAGAATCCCAGGAGGAGCAGAAAAGGGTTCGGTCCGAATCCGACTGGAAGATGCGACGAAAACCGGATTTGGGAAGAAACCCAGCAATGATGGGCCTCCGACCTCATCGAAATTTCAGCCAAGAACGAGACGTTTCCGCATGCGGGACCCCCAGCGAGAGGGGCGCGCTGAATCGGACAGCTAGTTTCACCTTTTCCGCAAATCTTTTTCACAACATCGTGTGAAGATCCAGAGGAGTGTTTCCATTAAAAAAACAATAAACTAAATTGGAAGGAACAGGAACAAGAACAAGGGTCGTTGTCAGCAAGAATCGTTCAACTTCGGTTTCGGATTCGAATGGCATCTCTGCTAAGGAAGGAGACGAGACCAAAAATTGAAGAGGAAGAAGAGAGTGGGCCCCATGGGCTCCTGCGGTTTCTGTCGGCCCTTCCCATGATGGGTTGTCCGAGCTGTTTTGGGCCCGGCCCGTGTGCATGATTGAGCCTCCTGTGTGGGAAATCCAAACGAGTATTATTTCGCATGTGATAAATTTATTCCGAACTCATTCTTCGGGTCATCAAAAACTCTAAATCACGCGCGACACATTAACAGGGTCGAGTTGTGTTGTGCAATCCAGTTTATTTTCCAGATTTCTCTAACACAGTCCCTATATGATCGATGCTTGAATTTTTTTTTTCTTTCGGATTCACTGTAGGATATTACCAACATGAAAAAGGCTTTGCTGTTGTAAAAATCAATGCAACCATTCATCATAAGCAACATCCTCAAGTAAAGAACAACAGAGAATAAACAGATGACCTATTTGGTGATACATGGTTGATTGAACGAGAATTATTACAACTAAGAGACTTGCATCCAACTCTGGCTAGATGAGTGGGCAGAGAGAGTCCCTTTGAGCATACAAGCCGTATGCAATCCACCAGTTCATCATCAAATTGCCACGGATCGATATATACTTGAGCAAGCTTTCCAAAATAGCCTTTACACTAGACTTGAACAAAGCTTTGCACCAGACATCCAACCAGCCAAGAAGCCAAAAAAGGCACAATCCACACCAGACAACAGAGGTCCAAAAGCATGTTCTATATCACAGCCATCCAACAAAAAATTCACTATATACTAGACTTGAACAAGCTTTACAAAACAAGCTTTACAGTTTGCACTAGACATCCAACTCTCCCCAAATATTCGTTGCCTTGCTTCACTTTGAGATTGTTGAGTTTGAGGAGGTCCAGAAACTTGGTTTGAAAGATCTACTATATAATTTGCACCACCTTGACGAATTTCTTGTATTATGTTACTGCCAAGCATCTGAAATTGAGGGAAAAAACATAATGTTATTATGCTAATCACAATGGATTAAAAAATTCTTAACAAATAAAATGTTCACCCTCAAATATGAGTTTTTAGTGGCTTCAGCTAAATAAAATTCATATCCTTGTAGAACCTATAAGAAGACAAACCATTTTAACATTTTGGTTTGGCATTATCAAAACCCATATGAATTGTACTGGTGGACAACTTACCCTCCTCCTCTAAGATCTAACAATATTTGATTGTGCTCTTACAGATCCAATTGTAGTACTTTTGCTTTGTTTATTAGATGCTTCTCCTTCAACAGTTGGTTGCTTTGGATGCTTTCTTGGCCTACCTCTTTTACCATGTATAATAGACATATATAAGGAAGGTATTTTAAGGGAAAATGTATCACATGTATAATAGACATATATAAGGAAGGTATTTTAAGGGAAAATGTATCACATTTGTGTTTGAATTTCAGTCCAGTTAGTTTGATCTCTATAGACGCCGGAGGTTGGAGGCATGTTGTCTTGTTGTGTCCAATACCATGACAATTGGAGCATTTCATGGTAATACAAGATTTTGATATTTCAGTAAAATCAGTGTTTGTGACCCTTGGCTTCCTTATTCTTTTTCTTTTCTCATCCTTTTTCTTCTCACCATGACAATTGGGCAACTATATCAGTAATAGCAGCAACAACATCAGCATCTCTTCCTATTTGCCTTGCAACAAATAAATCCTCGTTACCACCACCGAAAATGTAGTCATCATCACTTAAAGATAATGTACCAGAATGTTGCTCTGATTCACTATCCCTATCGCTATCATCACTCTCACTATTATCACTACCAGCAGAAGAACCACTACCATTACCAAGAGCAACTCCTTCAATATATACTTCAATAACACCAAAACTCAATCCTAGACCCACAAATTCTAGCACTTGATCATCACCAAAAATCTGTACAACGTCGCCTCTCAAGGAATACCCAGGAATCCGGTACCACAACTTTTAAACTGTTTATCCTAGACCAATAACAGGCTTAATAATTGCATTATAGTTAACTACCATTGACTCACAACCATGGAAATATTCCACATGGCAACCTGTGTACTTCGTGATGTCTCCAAACTCCATAACTCCACCCAAGTTAAGTGCAATTGTAAATTTATCCATCATCTGTAAGAGAACAACAAACAAACCAATTAGTTTGTAAAAACGTCTCACAAATAACTAGCAAAGATAGGATGATCAAGTTCAACAAAAGAGATGAGAAGATCGAGTTCGGCAAACAAGCTACTTGGTATTTTTCAAGTTCTACATACAAAAAAAAATTAAACTCTCACAAGACACGTAGAATCACACTCAAAGTAAAACCGACATCGGTGGCATTTTATCGAGCATGTGGTGTAAGAGTCAATCAGACCATTCACACGCAAGTTTCATGTTATAATTTTGACACACGTACAATTCAAGGTTGGAAAGACCACGTAATGCTAATGAGGACATGAACTAACACTAATGATGTTGGATATGATTTGTGTCGAAGATATTAGATTGATTCATTGAATCAAATTGTGATTTGAATTGATAATGTGTCTTTGCGTTATTTCCTTTTATTGTCCATATATTGTATTATAAATACATGTAAAGAATGCGAATCAAATCAATAGAGAGAATATAAAGAAATTCCTCTACTTTTCTTCTTCTTCGCTTCGTGTCAAATGACCAACATAGCAAGAGATATACGTAAGTGTACAAAGAGATTGCCGGACAAGCATTAAATCATATAGGGCCGAGACCTATGTAGCACGAACACATTCAGGAGGCCAACGTGTCAATGTCCGATACGCTCCAACACGTTTCGACACTCGATCAACAGATGTCAAAAATCTAACATGTGGTCAACACTCCGGGCACGCCGCTGACACGTGAGTCTGAAATCCCGACACACGATCCTGACACATAGGGGATCAATTTTATAAATTTTCAAAAAATTAGAGGTAAAAATATAAATTTATAAAAAAATAAAAAGAAAAGAAAGAAAATGGTGAAAGAAAACTCTAATCTTCTGTTCTAATCTTAACAGTGCCTTCACCCGCGTTCTGTACTCCCTCCCCATCTTGATTCGCAATTTCTCTTCTTCGCTCGAGCCAACGACGTCTGCCGAGGAGGAGGCCTTAAAGAGGAACACCGATTGCATCTATTTCCTCATCATTTCGCATCTTCTTCCTTTGCATCCTCCAAGCACCAAACTGCGGAATCCACACCCTCAGAACCTGAACCCACCACCACCCTCCTCCGTTTCGTGGACCAAGAACCCCTCTAGCAGACGACTCCTCCTCCTCTCCCTCCCGGTACGCGCCATATTATATTTTTATTATTTATTTTTTCGAGACACGAAGTAAATTCTAGGCTTTTATTAGTTATTTATTTATTTATGGATTTAAATAAAATTTAAAAATAATAATTTATCATGTAAATATAAAAATATATATTTAATATACAACGTGTCCAACGTGTCGAAATTCTCTATTTTTTTAGAAATGACGTGTTGTGTATCGCGTCGTGTTGCATGTCGGTATCGGTGTCGGTGTTACATAGGCCGAGACATAGAAACACAAGACCAGGTTTGACACAAGCCAACAACAAGCGAAGCAACCAAATATGCGATTAGAAGGTTATGGTTGAGAGATCCAACAAAAATGAAAAAGGAGGTCCTTGGAAACATAGAGCCTTGAACGCGACGTGGAATGGAGGACTCTCATTTTCCTACCTCGACAAGATGAAACCTATGACCTAAACCCAAGACTGCGACCAAGCAAGGCAGAAGTGGCAACGGGAAGCGTGCATACGTTTTTTTTTTTTTTTTGGTGGTATAAAGAAGAGAGAAAATGAGCTAATTGAAGAAACGTCAACTTCAATGCAAAAAGAAACATCAACTAAGTTATTATTATTTTTTTAAAAGCTAAATTATTTCCACGTGAACTTGTCACGTCACCATGTTATCATGTGTCATCCTAGTCAACAAATTTAATGATAAAATTTGACAGAAGCTAAAGAGGTAAATTTGTCACGAGTGTACCAGTTTGGAATTTTTGATAGAAAAATTAATTTATAATAAAATTGTTACGTGTATACCAGTTTGGAGTTTTTCATAATATTAACCCTTTTTTGGCAAATTTTAATTTGATATTGTTGAAGAGGGTGAATCCAAAAATAGAAAAAAGGCTCGTACTTTCACTCTTGGTAATTTTTTGCCCGATTTTTCAAACGTTGTGTGCAAAAAAATTGCATAATTTTGGCCCTGGACAATTGTGATCGTGTTGAGAATTCTCCCCATTAGCGTTAGACTTACCAACTATAAATACGTCTTTGCGAACCACAAAAATGTCTTCTTTTCCGATCCTATGTGATTAGCCACCACCATCGCCGGTCCTTCCTGCCACCAGCCATCACCAATGGCCCTCAATAGCCACCGTGGCCGACCCCTCTCTCTCTCTCTCTCATATGTCAAGTTTTGATGGAAGGTTTCTCCACAAAAATGCAACATGTGCAGTTCATCTTGCGATGATAACAGCACCCATTGATCTTTGATGAGTTAAGCTTGGACCTCGTGCGCTCCGTTCATCCTTGGTCAGGATGGTTCTTGAGGTTCGACCCAAAAAAGAGATGGTTCTTGAGGAGGACAACACTAAAAAGTGAGTTGCCGATCTGAGATCATCGAAACTTTTTTTGCCCAACGTTTAAAAACTTAAGCCAAAGATTGCCCCAAAGGCAAAGAGCGTGCACTTTTACTTGGTACACAGCCAGTGCAAAATCTTATGCTCGTCATGTCAAAAGTCAGTGAGATCGCCACTTGATATTTCAACCAAAACACAGTGTAGATTCCGTGCACCTTCATCAAATTTCATGCAAGACCTCGAACTCTGAACGGAGAACCCTGGTCATAACAGGACTAATGACTCTGAGAGGGACATCTTGATGATTGTCACAAATTTTGCTTTCTGACACGGATGATCACAATCTTTTAATGATCTGACAACGAGTACAAGAATCACAGTTTCGCACATTTGCATCTTTCGCAATCCATACACAAGCTCTCTTTGGTTTCATCTCAAGTGCACTGGAGCTGGACCCATACCCAAAAGTCAACAGGTTTGCCCATTAATTGTGAGTGCACCATCCTAGGTAAAATCAACAGCCTTAAAGCTCGGAACTTAGCTGTGCACCGAAACCGTCTGGGCATGCCTTCTTGCATTTTCCAACGTTGAAGGTCATGAACTCCAAGATGCGAGACTCATCACAAGACACTGACTGACCCCTTGTTTGCTTTCTTCGAAACACCTGCGACTCCATTGAAGTTCACGCGTGGTTCAGTGGCGTCCTTCCCCATCTCATTCAATTGGAGTGAAGATGTGTCAATGACCTTACCTCTGCTTTCTTCTTGGAATGGAGAATCCCAATCGCTCATATATCTTCTCGTGAGTTGCGGTCGCCGCCCCGGGATGCAAATGCTCACCGCTTGTATACATTCCCTACCAGCTACAATCAAAGCGGTGGCTTTGGTCAATTCCTGCCTGGACCCGTTTGTTGTATTTATCAGGAGTGTACAAAACGGACCATCCAAACTGGGAACCACTCGAACCGGTCAAGCCAGTTTGGTCCGATTTCCGGGAGTATCGATCCGGTTCCCAATTCCTAAAAGTAGAATTGGTGTCTGGGCGGTCCGGTTCTCGGTTACTAGACCGGACCAACTACATATACTTTTTTTAATTTTTTTATTTATTCAAAAAAATTAGTAAAATGTAAACTAAACCATAAGTGAAGCACGTTTTTTTATTCATTTTTTCAATATGAGGATCATTGCATACATATCACTTAATTTAACACGAAAAGATGACATCAAATAGCAGGGAAAAATAAGTGATCGGCTCCATTGGACCGGAACCGAAATCGGACCGGACCGGTTCCTAGTTCCAGGTCCCTGTTCCCAATTTTGGGAACCAATCCTTGGTCCAGTTCCCGATTTCACCTTGGAACCAGACCTGACTAGAAACCGATCACCCCTAATAATTATCCATAGATCCTAGCCCGGACAAGAATTTCAGCGTGGTCTATATTTGTTTCCAAATCAGAAGATTAACATGTTTTCCATTCAGGTGACATCCTGATAATATCCGCATCTACCGGGTGATTTTGCTTAAAGAAGTGACTTGTCGTTTTCCTTCAGGAAAATGCATCTGCTAAATCTTTCCTGAAAACACAACAGAGCTTAAAGACGATGAAGAATTCCACGGTCTGAATTCTTTTTAGAAAGGAAAGAACTGTTTCGGTCAGATAAAGAGGACGGCCCAGTAAATTGCAACCAACTGGGTTATCCAAAGAAGCATTCTAATGAATAAAATGATGACTATGGCCATAACCAAATAAAGCTTTGGAAGCACTTTGAAGATGAACAGTGCTTTTTTGTGGAGATAAGCAGTCATCTTTCGGCCTCTGGGGACACTCGAAAGGGGAAGGAAAGGGGAAGGAAAGGACCTCCACCAACAACCAGTCGAAGTAGCCACCACCCCTTTAATCATTGTTCTTGAGGCCATTATTTGTCCTCCCTATGCAGCTTTGGCCACAAGTGTAATCATTAGAGGATAGATCCCAATCACCCACCAACCCCATATTTGATCCTCAAATGATTTGAGGAGAATGTATGCTTTCGTAGAGAGGGATGATGTCCAAAAGTTCATAAACTTATTTTACACGGTCAATTCAGTCCTAAATATTTTAGTTGTGTCAATATAATCTTAAACCTTTTGACGATTTGCCAATTTAATCATAAACTTTTTAATTGTACCAATTTAATTCTAAATTTTGATGATTTGTCAATTTAGTTCTAAGCTTATTATTTGGATATACATTGGCAAATCGTCGATATGTTTAGAACTAAATTAGTGAATCATCAAAAGGTTTAGGACTAAATTGACACAATCAAAAGATTTAGTGCTAAATTGGCAAATCGTCGAAAGGTTTAGGACTAAATTGACATAATTGAAAAGTTTATGACGGAATTAGCCTCCATACTATAGGTTTAGGATTTTTTGAATAATTTTTCCCTTTAATCTACATACATAGACCACAAATTAGATCATGCGAGATTGATCATGCATATCTGATAATTGTTTGAGTATGCCTACAAATTATGCAAAAACTAGAAAAGAAAAAATATTAACGACTTACATAATTCAATCCTTAAGAATTGTGTTCATTAAGAGAGACGATTCAAATTCTTAGTGCAGAGAGTTTTAGCATATGAGTGCAACAACTCAAACCACATCACATGGGAGAGCCTGAATGAACGGATTCATGAGTGTGACTGTCTACCATATCAGTACTCGTGTTGGATACTTGAACCATGCAAAACAAGTCGAGTTATTATAACTGATTTTGAAGCGGTGCGCTGTGGTCATTGAAGAAGGGAGACCTAACTCCACATGTGGTTACCATATGGGTTACTCCTTTTAAGTGACTTAAAAGTCATTGGATACGTGTTTAAGATAAATTGAGGCTTACCACCAATTATTTCATGATTCATGAACCTGGCTCTTTTGTCAACAGGGTTCACTTAACTCGTGCTTTGTTTTTTGGCTGGATGAGTGATTGGTTCATTTACCAAGTTGTGCTTACTCGACTTACACTAGAATACGGAAATGCGAAATAGTGATAATCAATGTAGCAGTTATCGTAATACGTAAGATCTGCCTTTTCTTCTCAAAGTCCGCATTTGAAAAGACCAAAAAAGCAGAAGTGGACCATTAAATTAATTAAACCTTCAACTTTCCCACTCTTTCCTCCCATTTCCCACCAAGTCTTAAAGCCACACCCCACCACTCTACATATACTGGACATATAAGCCACTGATCTTCAACGATTCCTGCTCAGCTCTCTCCCTCTCAGTCTGTCTGTCTCGCTCTCTCTTCCCCCTTGAGATCCAAACATGGTGTCAACTTCTCCTCCTTCGAAGGTTAGCATCACCCCCGCTCCGTCTTCTTGTCAGATGACTATCTTTATAGAGATTTTTTTTTGCCTAATGACTTGTCTTTCTTTGCTCATCTTCCCCCTATTTTTTTTCAGGAAGTGGATTTGAGTGAGAAATGGGCGGAGGTGGGCGACCCAGCCCGGCGAGCCAAATGGTGGTACTCCACCTTTCACACCGTCACGGCCATGATCGGCGCCGGTGTTCTCAGCTTGCCTTATGCCATGGCCTATTTAGGATGGTAAGTTGAACCAATCTAGCTCTTTTCAGCACGTGCTTGTACTTCAAAATTGTTAAGCTTAAGTGTACTTCTTACCAGATGGATAGGCTTCGATCCCAGATCAATACCTTTTTTTGTAACTAAATGTCTGTCTAGTCTTTCGTGGCATGTCAGTTTGGAGTCCGGGACTTCCTGTACTGTCCCTCATGTCATGACTCATTTATGAATAACTGATCACCGGCCCAAACATAAGGAAAAGAAAGAGGACATAAAGACTGGCACAAAACTTTGATCCTTTTGTTTATGTTTTTGTCTTGTGTTCCCATTTTTCAGGGGTCCAGGGACAATGGTGTTGGCCCTGTCCTGGGGCATGACCCTGAACACAATGTGGCAGATGATCCAACTGCACGAGTGTGTTCCGGGCACCCGGTTTGACCGCTACCTCGACTTGGGCCGGCACGCCTTTGGCCCGAAGCTCGGCCCATGGGTCGTGCTCCCACAGCAGCTGATCGTCCAGGTTGGATGCGACATCGTGTACATGGTCACCGGTGGCAAGTGCCTCAAGAAGTTCGTGGAGATGGCCTGTGCCAACTGCACCCGGGTCAGGCAGTCCTATTGGATCTGCATCTTCGGTGGGATCCACTTTTTCCTGTCTCAGCTCCCCAATTTCAATTCTGTCGCCGGTGTTTCATTGGCCGCGGCAATTATGTCTCTCAGGTACGCAAAGGACACTTCGAATTTACACTTCCGACTCCTCATCCTCTGTTCAAGGTCTCTTTTCGCCTTCTGACAAACTTGACTTTCAGGATTTTTAATCCATATCAGGAATGTTTGAAAGTAAAAGGCATGTTGAAAAAGACATAATGATGGTACTATTTGGATAGTAAGCTTCAGTTGTCGCGTAATATCACCAGCAAGGACACTTAATCGTACAATTAAGACCCAATTTCGGTTTACTGAGATGTATTAGGTAAACATTTAATTGATTGTTCGCCTGTAAGTGTTGATAATGCTCTTAAGTCACAACTTGAAGTACGAGGTGGTCAAAAGTCATAATTGGCTAGCATGTTGAGCCTCCATTGATTCCAAGAGTCACTCAAAAGACTAATTCAAGTCCTCCAATTGCAGCTACTCAACCATAGCATGGGCGGGAAGTCTGGCCCACGGCCGAGACCCCGACGTGAGCTATGGCTACAAGAGCACGAGCTCCGCCGATTACATGTTCCGTGTGTTCAATGCGCTCGGCGAGATCTCCTTTGCGTTCGCAGGGCATGCAGTGGTCCTGGAAATTCAGTCCACGATCCCGTCGACTCCTGAGAAGCCTTCAAGAGTCCCGATGTGGAAAGGCGCGGTCGGAGCCTATTTCATCAACGCCATTTGCTATTTCCCGGTGGCGCTCATTGGTTACTGGGCCTTTGGGCAAGATGTCAATGACAACGTGCTGATGGACCTGAAGAGACCCGCGTGGCTCATCGCATCCGCTAACTTGATGGTGGTCGTCCATGTCATCGGAAGTTATCAGGTACTTTGAGTCGTTGTCGGTAAATGATCTTTTTGGCCAAGTTATTAGTCCCGGGTTCACTCATGCGATCAATCAACCATGATTTTACATGATTTCACGAGTAATTGCTATCCAAGCATGAACAGTTGATGTGGAACATATCCTATTTTGAGCGGATTGACTAACGAGACTATGGAAACTAAAACATTGCAGGTTTACGCAATGCCCGTTTTCAACATGTTGGAGAGGACGGTGGTGAAGAGAATGAACTTCCCCCCAGGAATCGCACTCAGGCTTGTCACTCGGTCTGCCTATGTTGGTGAGATTCCCTTACCCTGCTGTTTATTATCGAACTTTCAGCAGAAAAATTACTCAATGGACATTTCGAAAAAGATCACAATAAGAAAATGGTACACATGCTAAAACATGAATGCACTTTATTCATTGATTAAGAATGAATTCTGGCAGCTTTCACGTTGTTTGTTGGAGTGACATTCCCCTTCTTTGGGGACCTACTTGGTTTCTTCGGCGGATTTGGCTTCGCTCCCACATCTTATTTTGTGAGCCTCTCCCTCTCTCTATGATTACAAACTTGATGACATGATTCAGAATAATGTAATGTACTCTTGACAAGGATTTAACATGTCTCTGAGCCTCTCGCAGCTCCCAAGTATCATGTGGCTGATCATCAAGAAGCCTAGAAAATTCAGCATCACCTGGTTCGTCAACTGGGTAAATCATGTCTCAGATCAAACTTTTTTTCCTTCAGGAAATGAATAAATGCATTTCCATTGTTCTTTTCTCACTGGTTATTGTTGTGCGTTTCAGTTGTCCATAGTCATCGGAGTGTTCATTATGATGGCGTCAACGATCGGGGGGTTGCGGAACATCGTGGCCGACGCATCCACATACCGTTTCTATACCTAGAGACGAAGTGTAGGAGTCTATCGGTCTTTCATGATATAGTAGGCAAAACTCAAACATCCAAGAAAAATGTATCTTGTTGGCCTATACTACTAGATCATGAACGAGAAATCATAGACTGGGTCAATGTTTCCATAAGGATTTCTTTCTACAAGTTTCTACATAACCACCCGTCTTTAAGAAAACACAACTGACGACGCTGATCATGCTGCCAAATGTGCACTAGCTGTATTAAACTACAACAGAACCGACAAAGATGTACGAGAGCTCGAAAACACATTCCAGGTGGGCATCTAGCGTGCGCACTAGTGGAGAATTCGCATCACCATTCAGCAGTTACTTTTCACAGTACAAAGTCCCTCATCACTTTCACCAATTCTTATGGGTAAACGCAGAGTTGGTAGAGCAATTTGGTTGCTGATAGAGACGCTTGTACATCGAATCTGCGACCATCCACTGGTGGATAATGCTATAAATTTGCTAGAGAGCCTATTGTTATTGCCAAAGGCAAACGATAAGTAGCTCTCTGGTATCATGTTCCCACTTAATGGAACACCCAAAGTGTTGGGCAATGACAGTTCTAATTTGTGCATAAACTATTAATAATCTTTAAAATTAAAATGGAGTCCACGAGGACGAAGTGGGTTCGTTCACGAGCTCGCAAAGATGGCTTTGTATGAATAGGCTATTCTTTAACTATTTCAGATTCTAACTAGAAAAGCATTGTGTTGGAGGAATCAAATTGGAGACCTAGGCATTTGCCTTTGAACCAAAGTTAGATAAAGAAAGCTTCCCACTACCGACTAATAAAGTGAAAAGGGAAGGAAGATGGTTGTCCTTGTCCGCTCCTTCTCAATCATCGATATATATACAGTCATACGCTAGCAAACATGTATATGTATAGACGCCTGCACATAGGCAAATACTATACATAACATACATAACCTCATGCAAAAAATAGAACCCTCTTTTCCAGCTAGGAGGCATGCACAATCCAAGGTGAAAAACAACCTTTTGGATGTTTACTTTTGATTGTAGATTTCATGTCCGATGTTGAATCCACGAAGAATTTCACAGGTGAACAACTCAACACCATAGGGCTACGTTTGGTGGTTAGGATAAAAGTTAGGATACAATAAATTCTACCTTATCCAGCATTTGGTTGTTGTCCAAGATAGGCGAAGGCCTAATAAAAGAGAGATATATCCTGGACTAAAAAATCTCATGTGGGAGACAGAATGAAGATAGAATATATCATATCCATGTATAAAAGCTCCAACATCGCTGGCCACCGCTAGACCACCACCATAGCAGCTGATCATCGTCGCTTCCAATCACTGTCGATCGTCATCGCCAACCAACCAATCATGTTCCCTAACGGAGCTTTACAATCGGCATCTCCACCTTCACCTAGATCTGGTGTGATGGCGGAACTTTCATTCATCATGCCTGCTCATTCACAACTTGTGTCCGTTACATATAGACTTCACCTGTGAGGAAAAGTTTCGACTTTTTCTACCTCCTGCTCAATCACGCATTGTCCTCATGGGAATCAAAGAAATTGAGCGACACCTTTCATCTACTATTTTGATTGATCAATGTAAGTATTGCTCGATAAAGCTGACGCTCTAAGTCATGTTTTATGGTTTGTCGTGGATGACTTGTATTGTCTCAAAATTTTCTTCTGAAGGATCACAAGATTCACAGCTGTGTTACGGGCAACGCAGATCTCTCACCTCTCCGAGAGTGCAAGGTCCTTCTTTGTCAGTGGTTCACACTATGGCATTGCAGTGCAGATGGGAGTTCCTGCTCATGCTCGGAAGATGAAACCTGCATCCCGAGAAGACTACACAGACAACTATGGATGTTCCTTTTTCATAGGAACCAGCCACCTTGATGTCCAGAACTTCAGCAGGAGAGGGAGCCTTGACACCAAGAGATCCTGTTAATATGTGGCGAGGTGATGTCTACAGCGGCTTGACCGGTGGTGATAGAAGGCAAAGGCTACGTCGGATTGATGTCGGATTGATGACAACAGCGAAGAAGTAGAGGGGGTGGAGAGAAGAATTTGTGTTTAGGCAAAATGGTACCATATCTATATTCATGTAATATCCAAATATTCACCAAACACTGTATAAGAAATAACAAATCCCGATATTATCCTATTCAACAAAAAAGTTTAGACAACCAAACGCAATCTAAGTCAACTTATGAAAAGGTTTGCAAATAAACTCAAAACGAGCCACTCGAGTGGAAGAAGAGGGAGCTTGAGCTTTCACTGGCCTGGTTTAATTTTTCGATGCGCAATTGGGGGTGGGGGAGGGTCTATTCATGATTATTTCATGTTATGGAAGTTTTGCATGTTGGTCTTCGAGAAAAGAAATAAGAGAAGGGGTGAGAAAGATAGGTGTGGTCGAGGAAGGCGAAGATTATAAATTCGAGTCACTAGGAGAATGTATGAATTTGTTCGCAGAGTCATCATTAAGATAGAAAACTTTACAGCTAATTGTTGGTATTTTACCCAATAATTAGCCAGATGGGCGATTGCACCCGACAAAGCATCAGAAAGTACTTTATATAATAAAACACACAGATACTTTCTTCATCTAGAAAAATTAACTATAGAAAACCTCCTGCTAATTGGCCAGAAAAAGAAAAGCATGTTGGACAGAATACAAGTACATAAAGGGTACATTGTATCTTAAGGAAAGAACAAGTGAGAAAGAGTGGCAGAAATATGGTGAAGAGCTATCAAAGCTATACCAATTGGAATGGAATTCCTGACATTGACATTCCAGTACGATTTTCATCTATAGAAGAGTTAGAAAGGAAGCAAAATGTTATATGGACTGAATGAAGTTTCTAAGAACTGTCTATAACAAGTCGAAAGTACACCAATGTAGCTGGCTACCATCACCATAAAGCCAACTCGTGTCTCTTTCGAAATTAAAGTTGTCATCTTTTATCTTCTCCGTCACTATGAAGTAATAATAGGATAAATAGTTCCAGTCCCCTTCTTTTGGCAATCCAGAAAGCTGATTTTCCTTATATCTTCTCACTAGGGGCAAAAGAAACAAAAAAGTTCAGCCAATGCAATCACAAGAACAAACAACTCAAAACTCAAGTGGCTTTGCATGCAAATAGTTTCTTCTTCCCAATTGCACGAGACACTATAACAAGAAATGCGCAGGGATGTCAGTAAACGCCAGCTCTTATGATAAATAACTAACAGGATACCAGCGCTTTGAGCTGGGTGGAGTTGTGTCATTTGACTTGATTTAACAGGAATGTGCTAGCAGAGTTTCGATTGAATCAGTGGCCCAAATTAACGGTGGATATTGGATGTGATATCACTCACCTTAAACAATATCGCATGTCATATCATTACACTGTTGAGAGAAAGGACTGAATACCAAACACGATAAAGAGGACTCCGCCTGAGAGGGCTACCTGAAAAATGCAACAGTTCAAGCATGTCCCAAATTACTATCACGAGAGTGAAAATATAACTCTGCCTTATACAAGCAAGCAAGAGGCAGAAATTACTAGTCTCTCAGAAATCTGAGATGCCAAGCTCTTCCCTCCCACAACAGCAGCAGTTGTGCACAATGCTTGTCCGCTGTGAAAGGATACACACCGGAAGTATGCAGAAAGCGTAAGTATATCAGTTATCAACCTTAAGTTTTGCTCTTCCAAAATTGCAGAAAGAGGTCCTATGACACGAGACGGCAGATTTTTAGTTAAATGCTGTCATATGCAGTACAAAATGTTAGACATTGAGATTTTCAAGTCTGTTCATATAGGTAGAAGGCACCGGTCAGAGTATGAGAATGATGATGCCTGCATGATGTTCTTTTCCATACCAAGACACCCACATGACACGCTATTATGTGTCTTACATTTCAAATTTGTCCATGCACATTAAATCATCAGAACTAGAAGCACAATGTTGCAAAACGTCTACAAATTTTTCAAACTATGATTGAACGACTTAGTACAAATATATAGTCCTCGAAGCAAAGAGCACTGCCAGTACATTAACCCTGGCTCTACCCAAATTCTCTGTTGTCCCTAAAGTCCAAAACACAATAGGTGATCATCATGTACCAGAGCATAAAGCAAGTAGAACCAGCTCAATAAGTTGCATATAGTACCTACATGAAACATGTAGAAACCACAAGGATCAAACCAACCCACTCCTCATTCACTGAGAATTCTTAGGTGCTGACTGTTCACCCAACCAATCGCCAAGTGTTGAGTTCTATCAATTTTCTTTCCCTGTGGAGAAATCTAAGAAACCACATAAAACTCAATACTTGGGGATTGCTTTGGAGGACGGCCATGTGGTGCCCCGGAATAAGACATACCAATTTTCTCATCGTCCACGATAAGACCAACTTTTCAATTAACACTCCAGCATTTTGTAAATAATTTCCTCACTGATTAACTAAGTGACCAATTTATGGCCAAAAATAAGTTCATAACTACCAAATACATTCATTAGGAACAACTCATCCTTGGCTAAACAAAATGGTAGTCTCAACTCAGATTAGTGCAACCTTTCTCTACCCAAGTTTTTCAATGTCTGAAGAATCGGGGAGTTGATACCCATTGATGAACCAAATAACAAACTAAATGATCGTAATGAACATGCCAAGACTCGAGACAAAAGCACAAAGCCCCATATGTGCTCAAAGCTACAAATAGTAGTCCAATATGAAGAGAATCATATGAATGTCTGCAACAAGAAGATTCGGAGCTTGACTTACACAATTCCGCCAAGAACTACACCAAATGGATTCTCGTCTGCAGCCAGACCAATTGTAGCCAGCTGAAAATGAAATTACACTCGGTGTAGATGAAGTGAACAAAAGATTTCAGAGAATAAAATTATAACAGGAACTTGAATTTCCTAGGACTGTGTACCTGGCTCTTGTCACCCCATTCACCAAAAAAAGTGATTGAAAATGCCTGCAGAATGGAACAATGTAAATATCAGGAGCTTTTATTGTGTTTTCAGACAACTAAAATTTAATATAGATATCAAACCTTCAACAAGATGGGTGAGAAGAACTGTGAGAGAAATGGTCGCGTCTCTTTTTTAACATCATCAGAAACCTGGCAGGTTCACTAAAGGTGTTAAGAGCATAAAGCATGGTCTCAAATATTCTGACTTCAATTTCTCAACCAGCCACAACAAAAGCAAGTCATCACGCCGTGTTTTATTCATCAGAAGTGTACCTTGCCATTCTGTTTGGCTGTTCCAGAGCCAGCCTTCGTCCAGTCAGCATCCTAATGACAAAACATAACAGTCACGACTGATTGGGATTTCTGTATGAGGTAATACAGACAAGAGACGCAAAGGAAGACCCACCAATTTTGCTTCAACTTCAGCTAGTTCTTCAGATTCCCTGTAAGTCCACCAGATAAGTTCAACACAAGTAAAACCTTTTTGTCTAGAGGTAGAAGAAAAAGGTTAAGCCTGGGGGAGAAGCAGTACTTGATAACCTTACCCTCCCTCATGAAATCCATCCCACAAAGACCATATGCCAAACCCAAAGAATAACAATGTCGTTATATGGTGAGTCCATTTACGGGAAATCTGCACAAAGAATCCCATAACATCAGAATATATTCGATGAACCAAAAAATGTACATTCGAATAGAAAAAGCTGAGAATAAAGATTCTTTATACGGACTAAAAAGGATAAATGAATCACAGTATGTCACAGATTCAGAATGGGTAGCTCAAATGAGTATGGTGCTGTTGTACTAGAAATGATTGACACTGATATGGTGGAAATGTCTATCCAGGTTCATCCGTCTACAGTGTACAAGTTCAGGTGAATTTTCCATTTGACTTTCTGTTTGAATAAAATGAATTGGCCCATTTCTACAGGCATAATGCATCCCTGCAATTAGGAGACATGCAGAAAAGAAATTATGGTAATAGCTAGGTCAGCTTATCATGCACTAAGGTTATTTCTCTAGAGTCTTTGAAGCAAATTGCAAAAAAAAAAAAAAGAATCAAGTTCAGCTCATTTCCACTGAAACCCTCTGCCTGTAGAAAGTCTTTCAATCTCACTGTCTAGACTGATTCCAAGACAGCTTAATAGATTCTCCGAAACAAAAAATCGAAACAGTTATGTTATTCTTCAACCGCATATGAATAGGCTCTATAACTATGATATCAACCAGGAAAAGGGTAAAACTAGGTCAGGATCACGACAACAAGAAATGCATGCAGTAGATTCGGGAGGTAGGCCTGTCTGTCGCAGCTTATTACTTCTACTTGCGACTTTCCCTCCAAAATTTTGAAGAAGGAAAAGGATATCTCGAGTTTCGAAAAAATTATGGAATATCATGTGTAATTCCACATGTCAATCGTTGTATTTTGAAAGGTTTGAGGTGTTTCGCATTAACAAAAGTCAAATTGTGAGAGTTCCAAGATAATGAAATTCCAATCAATTAAATAAAAAGCTTCAGAAAGACCAAGCATATGTCATTCTAGAACCATACTAAAAGCATGTGCTTCAGGCCATCACTTCCTTATAAAAGGACATCAAATGGAACTCCAATATGTAAAAGAAAACAAACGCTGCCCTTGTTATGTATATTGACATTCACCAAGTAGAAAGAGAAGAAAGAAATACTGCAGGAATCATATAGGAAACAACTTACCAGGTTAGGAGCAGCCCAACCAACAAAAGCAGAAAGAATAGTCATCACCTGGATAAAAGATGCAGATACAGAAGGTCTAAGTCCATGAAAGATGAAGTGTCTGGAAGGACTTAGTGCTAAGGCATTAAATATTTGAAAGTTGTAGAAGTACACTTACCACCAAAGCTGCCAAGCAACCTGACAAGACAAGTCTCCTTGGGTGACGCATAGCCAGAATCTGAAAACATGAATCATGAAAATGAACATGGTGAGAAGCTATTCCGGAGGAAGGCAGAGTTTGATGTAATGCAGGTCACAATGGAACCTAGTCAAGCAGCTGACAACGAAGCACTCACTATAGGGACAAAGCTACTTCAGAAGCAGTTGCAAGATAGGATGTGAAAATGGGGAATCTTGTATTTTCTTTCATTCCCCCCTTCCTGGCCAGTAACAAGCTGATTTTGGGCAAAGTGATAGGGAAGGCTACTAAAAAGACTTGTAACTGATGCTGGATAGGGTCATAGACTCATAGTATTATCTTGCTTCTTCTAAAAAAAGAAAGGATCTTATTGTCATGCTATTAGCCTATAAGCAAATGATACCAGAGCCGTTCTATACACCAAGCAGACAAAAAAATAACCTCGGGGGAAAAAAAATGTCCTTGGATAAATCGTAGATGGTTCTATCCATGCCTCGCTCTCGAGAAAGGGTTTTGGTGGTTTGCACCATGGTCCAATTTTTGATAGGTTGTCTCGCCGATGACATATTTCTGCCTTAATACACAACACTTGTCATGCAAAACTATCTATTTTTTCATAATAAGTTGTGCCGCCAACTACAATGGCGATAAATGACAGAAATAGACTCCAATATCCTAGAGATGAAGCATTTTCAGCTCATGAAGTAAGTTGCTAGCAGAGAAGCAACATTGTCACTGACTGCCCAATTTTTTACCTCTCGGGAATCGGCGTTCTCCGCAACCTAAGAAAATGATTTGGACTTGTAACAGAACAGGATAACTGATATTCCCTCAAGTTCAGAAAAATGGAAGAACTAGGCCAGTAACAACAAAATAAGCTAATCTCCCAATCCCCCAAAGTTTTAACTCCATGAACTTAACGAACTCTTTCAGATAGCATCGAGAGATCGATCAACCTTTTCCAGCATCAAATGGTTTCCAAGTTTGAATTCTTACACGCAGTACTTGCTTTGGCTAGATGAGCCGATGGTACAGTGACAAATTCTACAAACTCTCGACCACCCATGTCGCTGCGAAACCAATCCAATCAAGTAATCCAAGCAAAAGACCTGAACCCAGTACATAGCTACATGGCAAGCCTCCTCTATCTACAGTCAACCGAAGAAGAATAACTACCTGGGCAGGTTCCAATCGAAGATGCCAAACGCACGCGAATTAAGAAGAGACAGCACTCGGATCGACGTCTGGAAACAGGTAAGCAAATACAGAAGCACCGGATTCAATGACTTCACTTCTCGCGTGGGCCCGTGGGACAACCCCGGCACAACACGGCTCCGAAATCGATAGCTCTCGCCACGAAAAGGGCACTCCACTTAATATTTAGTTAGCCAACTAGTGTACAAAAAGAGGGCAAAGTGCCGTATTGGAAATACTAATATCCAACCCCACAAGTAGCACCCCAAAAAGAGAAAAAAACCATTCCCGGCACTCGGCCATATTCAACCTCGAGCGATCGACGCTCGGGACACGGTCTCGTCCGCCCGCGAGCGCCCAAAAAAAGAGAGCAAAGGAAAAAAGAAGAGATCCGAGCCCAGCCAAACTCACCGCGGCAGCGAAGAAGGTCTTGTCCCCGATTTCGGACAGCACGGTCATGGCGAGCGATTTGGAGAAGCCCTGGCACAAAACCCAATCAAATTTCATCCCCCCAACCCATTCACGCAGATCGAATCCCGAAGCAATGAAGACGAGCCCAGAAATCGGCGAGAGGAAAAGATTCTTCTTTCGCTGTTGTTTTACCTGCAAGACCGAGCTCATTCTGACGCAGCTGACGAGCAGGAGAAATCCAACCAAGATATACCCTCCCCTCCCTCCCTCCCTCCGAAAGAGCACGAACGGAGGAGCTCGACGGGGGCGGCGGCGGCGGCGGCGGCCCGACAAGCAGAGGAGCGAGGAAGCGCGGCGCGCGTGGTGGATTCCGTCCGGCGTCGTTCGTTCGTTCGGAAGCTTCGGTGAGCAACGAGTAGGGTCTCGGCGGAATAAATAAGGGGCAGGCGAGGCGTAGAAAGCGAAAAAAAAATGTCTCCTTTTCAGCAGTGGAGATCCAAAGCAAGCTTCGTGGTGCGTTTTTTTCTCTCTCTCTCTCTCTTTTTCTTTTTTTTTTCGAACATTTTTTTGTTTTATTATTTTTCTGTCTCTTTTCATGTTGAGAGTTAATGCCCTCCATCAAATCTTCGCGGCGACCTCATCGTATCGCGTCCCCCGGGGGTTTCACGCCATCTGTCGTGTCGTGTCGTTTTCGGGTTTGATGCTGAGTTTTGGAAGCTGAGATCTCGAATCTCGGCACACGATTATCAAAACCTTTGGGATTATTCTGGAGCAAGAAGCGCCTTTGGCTTAATCCGGATATAACAGCGGGACAATAGGGTAGTCAAAAACAGGGGGGTTGCAAAAATCTATGTATTCGATCCGCACGGCAGCTTCCCGATTTTAGAGACGTGCATCCGGAAAAGCAAAAGATCGATCCAGAGACGAAAACCCTTTACACCGAAAGTGGATCGTAAGACTAAGGCATTCTCATCATCATCTCGATGTCGTTGGCCACGGAGAGGTTCGTTGTTGGCGGTGGGCCAACAACTTCAACTCCCCAAGGGGCCGCCAACCCCTCGCTCCAAACAAAATAGGAAGTTTCCTAACGCCTTGTTCATGTTTTTGATTGAAGATAAAAAAAAAACCAAAGAAGCCCGTCTCGGCGTTTCTTGCGAAGCTTCGCGACGATGGAGGATGGACCCGCTCCCTCGTCCCGTAGCGCCCAGCCTCTCTCTCTGCCAATTTCGGAATTTATTCACAAGCAATCAATTCTTTAGATTCAAAGAGGGAGTTGGACCCCCCAAAAATTAAAAATAAGAATTCAAGAAGGGCTTTTTATGATCCCTCGATGTTCTCGGCACGGATAAAATTAAGCCTCGTTCTGTTTCGCATAAAAGCGATCTCTTATATCGACTATAAAAACGAATAAATAGAAAAATATTTATTTCGGCTACGAAAATGTTTAGACGGAAATTATCGTTGGACGATGGAAATACTTTTCATTAGCAAATTATTTCAAGCGACACGGGCGATCATTTTTAAGAAACTATTCCCAAATCGTTCACTTTTCGCGAAACAGACAGAACCCCGAGATCTTGTTAGCGAGCGCTCCGTATTCATATAAAGAGAGTTTATAATTTCCAATCAACTATCTCTCTCGTGTTATTTGTAATCGATACATTGAAAATCATCAAGAATTAAAACTTTAGTGCAATCTTTAATAAGACCCAAAGAAATTATGTTTATATTATATATTATCACTAACTTTATCATTGGTGACATAACAAAGGGATCTGGTCGAAATCTTTAAATCGAGAAAAAAGATTATGGTTTGGGGTTAGGTGCAGAATCTGCATAGTTTTCTTTCTTAGGTGCGCATGGAAAGGCACGTGAATGAATATGATCAGGACAAAACTTGATTAACAAAACCAGAGTAAAGTCATGTGGTGGCTACTTTCAACACTTTCTGCTACCCTCCCTAACATTTTTTTTTGGGTCGAGTATAACTGGAGCGACTCTTCTCAAATTCACTTTCCATGGTGCACGGGGTTCCCCAAGAGCATTCCAAAATCATGGAATTAATTGAAGATTAATGAGCATCTGATTCATCTTATTTATTAGGGATGGTAATGGGTGGCGCGGCATAACGACACGACTGGAGCACGAGCGAAATTAGCGGGGCATCGGGTCGAGGCTAATCATGTGTCGAGTCGATTTCGCCTCCACTCGCGAGATGCGATTGATATTCGCATCGTGTTGGTGTCCTCGGTTTGCCAGATACGTGATTGTCCCGTGTGACTCGTTCAAATTAGTGGATTAGTGCCGATGTCGCTCGTGTTCTAGAGCATACCCTTATGTCAACGCAACACGACATAACACGGTCCGGTAACACGAATCGCCTCTCCTGCTAGTTATGCTGAAAAGAGAGTGCTTAAGGACACTTCTAAATCCTCCCTCCTATGGTAACTCACTTGTCCACTAAACTATCAGCCCCTTCAAGACCACGAGAAGCAAATCATAGACAAACCTGGGAAGACCAACTAGAGCTAGCAATTCAGATCGGCATGTCATAGTCATATCGGTAGTTCGTGTCAATTCATGTCATCCTCAAACAACTTGATTATGATCGGACGTGCCAGCGATGAAAACGCGTTGGTTCGTGTCGCCATATAAAATCAGACATATCGTGTCGTGTCATATTCAAATTCTCTGTTTACAATCTGTGCGTTTTATCTCGTGTCGCATAAACGATAACTCCTCCCGTCTCTCAAGTCCCTATCGGTTTTCTGACCAAAACATCACATTGTCCTCTTGGGGTCAAGCGTATGCAGATCGGCCCAGCAAAGCGAGATTCGATAAGGCCCGGTTCGATCCAGCCCATCATCACACCTAAATAGTAAATAGTAAACAGAGTCATTTACCTACAAAAGAGAAAGTAACTACAGTCTAGACCATGCCTTATTATTGACTTCATCTTGTTACAATTACCGTGATCAATTTTCCTAACCAATAATTAAAACGGAACTAGTGAAAAATAACTTATAACCACGTCGAAACTCTAATAACGGCACGAGAATACAAATTCGATACTGACCCTGCCAACCTCTGACGAGGGAGATTGTAAGTTCGATGGAGACTAACATCGCGGCAATGTCGACATAGATTTTCACGAAAGATTGGGGATTATATCCGATGAAACTAGATAGCAATTGCAGAGATGCGACTATTACATAAAACTTTGTCAAGAAAAAAAACCAAACAGAATTCAAGGGTCTATGGTCACTCTAATCAATTTCATTTGCTTCTAATTCTAATAATTAACGGTAAGCAGAGTTTTCGTCTCAATCTAAATGTCTTTAATCAGCGACGGAGGAGAGCACAAAAATCTTTAACAAGAGTATGATATATTTGTATGAACTTTTGCTATTTCTTTTCTTCCTTCTCCATGAACCTTTTGTCCAACAAGTGAGAACGCGAATTTTTTTTTCTAAAAAATGACACAATTGGTTCCTGAACTTCAGCCTAATGTGCAACGTGATCCCTAAATTTTTAATTTGTTCAATGCGATTCCTGAACTATATGAAAATGTTCAATATTGTCCATGAACTTGAATTAATGAAATGACAATATTAAATATTTTTATATAATTCAGATATCAAGTTGAACATGTATTAAAAGTCCAGAAATCACATTAAACAAATTAAAAGTTCGAAAACTACATTGCACATTGAACAACAGTTCAAGGACTATATCGAATAAATTAAAAGTTCAAGGTCATATTATACAAAATCATTTGTATTATTATCTTTTCTTTTTTCTACAAGAATAAGTCAAAATATGTTGCTGTATTCCGGAAGGGACCCGAAGGACAAAACGGAAACGGATAAAAAAATTCGAAAGCAACAGGACAGAAAATTCTAAACGACACCTTTTGTGGCGTTCGGTACACAAGCAAAAGCATCTCCAAAGCACAAATGCGATTGCATGCTTTTTTATTTGGCCAAAAAGTCCTACTCCCACTCAATTACTCATTAGTTTATGATTGCTAGAGAACGTACCTTCCATTACAACAAAAACAGTTAAAAAAACATCACAACTTTAAAAGGAGGAATCGTTACCATCAATTGAACGTTAAACAAAGAAGACTTCATCAACACTATACTTTCAACTCTAGATAGTATATTGTTAAAAAGAAAAGATGATGGTTCCCATATGATGAAAAGCCCAATTTGTAAGCTTGCGAGTTGTTGCGAATCAGAAAGCAAGCGAAAGTCCGAGACGAAAGGCTGAATCCTCCAATAAGACGAGTAGAGGATGTGGAAAACACTCGGAGGAGAGGGGGAGAGCTCACGCGTAGGCAAGAGAGATTTTAGACTCGATAGTTGTAAACATAAGTGTGTTATATTAAGTACCAATCGGAAGTCCGTCTCGTAACATGTCATGGCGATTTCACATATTGGTCTGTGTCGCGACCTAAATTTCTCAGGCTAATGGATTATTAAGACTAAGCCTAACTCGGGCTCTCCCAAGCCCTACCAATTCGCAACTTAGGGTTTAAGTTTTTAACATACCAAAGTTTTTCATACTTTGAGTCGTCACTAATCTATTTGTGGTAGGTCGATTAGAAATCTAAATAAAACATAGGGAGATATGTTTTATTCCTACGAACCAGAGATTCTAAGCTCGGGGACTTGATACGCTAGATCTAATCTAATGCCCTTTCGGTACCTTTTCTTTTCAAAAAATGTCTATGCAGGCAGTTTAAATCCATTTTATTACCTAATCACTAACATGTGACGTGTTCATGCGGGTGCGCAAACCACCAATTTAACACCCAAGAAAGCAATAAATAGATTGCAAGATTAGGAAAATGACGTACCTTAATGCAACGCAAGCATCTGCATTGTTAGTAGAAAATCACACAAACAATCCTAATATGATTTCTAATTAACAAAACAAGGCATTCGAGGTGTTCTTTAGGGTTTGCGCTTTATTAAAATGTAAACTAACCTATATGCAATGACGTGCAAAAAATAACATGCGATTAATGCAACCTAGCATGCGAACTATATGTCATACAACGACGTGACCTAATTCTAATGACGGACAAATGATTTATTTTTTGTATTTTTCTCATAAAATTTGGAATAAAAAAAATGTCTAAATTAACATGCAATCTATCTTAATCTGTCCTAAAGTGACTCATTTTTTTGGGATTTTCGTGGAAATTCGAAATCTAAATATCCTAAATAATCCACAAAGATTAAAACAATTTCTAATTTAAACTAGGAAATATGCTACTCTAAATCCCAATTTAAATCAAATAATTATCTTACCCTC